AGTTTAGGTTTGACCCCATTCACGTACCAGCAAGCACCATGGGAAGATGACCTCCGACGGTGAGCTCAGCCCTATGCTGGTAATCCTGTAGCTCGTCCTCATCAGGTTGATGACGGCGCCAGAGTTCGCGGATGTGGCGTTCCTTGTGGAGGGTCGTCGACTATTGGCCAACAAGGCATTGGTAATGAGCATTACTACCATCAATGAAGTACTTGCCCACTCCAGTTGGCAGCCCGTAGTGAGCATTTCTGCGCTATGTTCTACTCTTGTGGGTTGAGAGAGGCGGCAGCTGCTACTACTGGAAGATCTCATCAAGGTGATGGAGGATCGGCGTGTGTAGTACAACATGCTCAGACAAACTTATTAGAGGTAACCTCAAGGCTGGCCACTGCCACTTCGAAGAGTTTCATCATCTAGGTTCCGATAACTGACGTCGACTATGAAACATTCAATTTGCTTTTGGAATACATCTATACCGATAAGGTAATAGGAGTATTCGGAGGCTCGCAGGTGTATCGTTGTGGAGTAGGTCAGTCCAGACCTCAACACAGGGCAGGCTTTGTCGTTGCTAATCACTGCTGGAATGTTCTGTATCGACAGGTTGAGGGTAAGTAGGCTCATGCTGGTCCATAGCTTGTTACCAATGCTTCAGGCAATATGTGAGGATATAGTACGGCATAATATTACTATACAGAACTGCGTAGGTTGTTGTTGTTGTTATGGAAGAGGAATATGAGTGTTGGTGGCTACCCTCAGGTGGAGGTATTGATAACAGCCCATCATCATAATGCAGATGGTCTTAAAGAGATCTGTCTAGAGTTTTTATTATCAAACGAAGAGGCGTGTAGGTTTGGGGATGCTCGGCTAGTGCTTTGTGAAGTCATACGTCAATAATAACGTTGAATTCAATGTCGTCCTCGTTGGTCTCCGTCTCGTAATTTCATAAATGTGGCGAGCGAGATTTGAACCGGAGTCCGGAGACGTCCAGTCGACATCTAAATAAATATCTATTATAGCGTCAATTCTTGCTTACATCAGGTAAGCATCATTCTGATGGCTTTAAGGACCTTATTGGGGAGCCCCAGTTGATGTAAGTGCTAATGCTACCAGTCAATACCCTCAGTCCTGTCCCTTAGGTATGAGCTCCTGGTACGGAGGAAACCCTCTAGTGTTATCTCCCCTGGTATCGGCTATTCTAACAATGATCCACATCGAGGTAGGCTATTCCATGATCAGCTCTGCTGCTGTATGGTTGGTGCGCAGGAGGTGGGGGAGGAGGGTCCAGCATGAGAGTATCACCATCCACTTGGCGTTGATACACCTATGACCTAGATGACAACATTTTAATAGTCATCTTTGTGATGTACACATTCAACTCTATTACTGTTGGGTTTGTCTACTATAGGTTCGGAACGGTTGGTAGTTTTAATCGACTCCTCTATGCGTGCGTTGTTCTCCTTCTTCATCGTTAGTATCACATTGGTCGTGGCCCTGAGAGACGGGGAATACTTCTATTCTGATGGCATTAGGGAGGGTTTGCATCTTTCCAAAGCGGGGCATGATGTAGACATCAGTCTTACTCAAAGGGATAGGCATGGACCAAGTTATGCGAAGACGTTTCGTTTAAAGGGGAGACTACAGGGGGAGACTGCAGAGGACGAGTGCTTGACTGATGTGACGTTTATGCAGAATCCTGACAAGTTTCGTGGCGATGTGAAGGCAGAGGGAGCTATATGTTTCAATAGCAGCAACCATGTCATCTTCAATGGTATACAGTTGGATAGCCTCACCAATGCGGTAAAGCTGAGGCCTTGGAGGGTCGGTGCTTTCATCGCCGTTGGCACCTTCAAGGGCTCAGTACCTCAATTCGGTATGACTGTCGTATTCAATGACTTACAGCATGTGGATGCAGTGAGGGAGGGGAGGGTGATTGTGGAGGGGTCTAAGAGGTTTAAAGAGCACAGCGAATATCAAGTTACCTTTCACCAAGACTTAGCTAAACTTAATAGAATTCATATCACAAGTAGCGTGAAATTAGAGAAAGACAGTCGTTTTGGAGGTAGGGGAGGGAACGCTGTTGGAGACATCATTTGTCGTGATGCGAGATCGACATTTTACTACCGTCACCCGCTGCTCCTCGTGGACATACCTAAGAGGTGTTCCTGGATGGGCAGAGAAATGGGGACAGTCGGTGCCGATGAACGGCTTGAGGATCCTACTCATGCGGGAAGATGACGATAAGGCAGATG